TTGGATGACAGTGAAAGCCCAAAATTGATTTGCAGAGTGCCCACAGAGAGTAAGCCTCCGCTGAATTCTCTCAGACCATTGAGCAGGGATGAGAAGCCTTGCCCTAAGGCAGAGTGTATCAGAAAGTGAATTAATGTGAATGCAGGTAGGTTAAATTTGAACATCCTATCATTTGTTTTCCCATGTAACTGATTCATTTGTTATAGTTTTTATCATTTTCTTTTTTTTTTTTTTGACTGAGGTTTTTCTGTGTTTGGTTATTTGTATTGTTGTTTTGGTATGGTTTTCTATATAGATTTACTAGCATAGGCAAATCTGTAGAGATAGTAACTAGATTAATAGTTCCTTAGAGTTATAGCAGGGGAGGTAGGAGGAAGTGGGGAACAATGATTACATGAATGAAGAAAATGTTCTATGATTGTGGTAATGATTGCACAACTCTTTTTAATATATTCAAACGATTGAGTTTTATGCTTTTTGAATCATATGTCAATAAAACTGTTTTAGAAAAAAGAAGAAGAAAGGGCTGCCATGAGTTGGAATCAACTCAGTGACAATGGGTTTGGTGTTTTGGTTTTTATTTTTTTAATCATTTTATTGGGGCTCATACAACTCTTTTTTTCCTTCTTTTTAATCATTTTATTAGGGGCTCATATAACTCTTATCACAATCCATACACACATCAATTGTGTAAAGCGCATTTGTACATTCATTGCCCTCGTCATTCTCAAAGCATTTTCTCTCCACTTAAACCCCCGGCATTAGGATGTTTGGGTTTTTAAATTACATTATATGCATTACATTGCATTGCATTAAATCACATCTATAGGTTTAAGGGTTAAGATTCTAGCATGTGTTCTAGAGGGGCACAATTCAATATACCATACTGATCATTATTTTTGTTAGGTGCCATCAAGTCAGTTCTGACTCATAATGACTTGATGTACAGCAGAATGAAACACTGCCTGGTCCTGTGCCGTCCTCCCAATTGTTATGTTTAAGTCCATTGTTGCAGCCACTGTGCCAGTCCATCTTACTGAGTCTTACTCTTTTCGTTTCGTTTCTTTTTTTTACCCTGTACTCCACTAAGCACGACTCTCTCTCCAGGGATTGATCCCTCTCAACAACTTGTTCAAAGTAGGTAAAAGGAAGTCTCATACCCTCACTTCTAAGGAGCATTCTGGCTGTACATTTTTCTAAAACAGACTTGTTTGCTCTTCTAAAAGCATACATTAATTTCAGTACTCTTCATAACACAATTCAAATGTGTAAATTCTTTGCAAATCCTCTCCTCTACCTCCAGCCTTTCACATGCACAAGCGTCGAGTGAAATTACCACCCGCTAGTCTCAAAGTGACATCTTTCATAGGCAACCTCCATGTCAGTGTTTTTAGGTTTCTCTTCTCTGACTGGTTCCTTCAATCACCTGCCTCACTGTTGAAGGCCTGCCTGTCAGCATTCTGGGAACCGAATAAAGGAAGGTAGCTTCCACATCCAGTATGAGTGTGCTCATCCAATCTCATTCCTCTATTGCAATGCTGCAGTTTTCCCCAAACCCAGAGACCCCCCTTTTTCTGCCCTAGAAAATGAATGTCCAGCTATTTTCTTGGGGGGAGGGGGTGTTGGGGCAGGAACAGGGCAAAGAGTTATCCAGGTATGTAGAGTTGGTGTGTCCATCTGACTACTTCTTGGACAAATGGTCAGCCAGTTCTACTTAGTTTGGAAACTCTGCCCCCCCGCCAGACCTCTTGGGGTTTTGGGGTCTCAAGTAGTGGTTCTTGTCTTTGCCACTGCTAACTTAGAATTCAAGTCGGCTGTGTCATTTGCCACTTTTCCATTAGCATTCTAGTTTCCGAAATGTTGTGGCTACCATCTCTTCTTTTATTATTTCTACTCTTATTGGTTCATGCTTTAAAATAAAAGGCTTTTACATTCCTTTAAGGAGTTTTGGAAAGAAGTAAAGGCAGCCATGCTTTTAATCTTCCATTTTTACCTGAAAGTGTCACCATTCCTATTTATTTATTTTCTGAACTACCAAGTGTGTGAATTTCTTAAAGGCTGAACGCTAGGGCTCACTGTTAATACTCCAACTCCAGAGCAAGAATAACTGAATCATAGTCCTTTGAAGAAAGTAATTTAATTTGGGGGGATTCTTTGAAAAACAAAAACCAAACAGATTTAGCATCCAGATTTAGTTCCTTGCCTACAACCTCTTTCATTTCCTTCAGTTTCCACGGCCTTCTTCGGTTCTTGTTGTGTTGCCCTGTCCACATCCAAATTCTTTAGCAAACATTTGCTGTGAGACATGGAGGCTGCAGAACGCGAGGCAGGTGCAGGCAGGTGGGAAAATCAGGTCACATCAGCTCCCTGTCTTGCTTTGTAAAGACTGTTGCAGTTGTCCCCACTCTCTTCTTCTTGGCTTGGGATGAGAGTGGCAATTCCCTTTAATGCTGTGGTTTTTCCTTCCAGCCCATTAGAACTATGTACATCATTGGAGTGGCCCTGAAAGGTAGGAAGATTAGGGATAAAGAGGGGTGTCTCCACCGAATGCCTAAGCTAAACAAAAATTAGATGGCCATGCCATAATAAAGGGGTTGGAAAGAAACCAGGCACACATTAGACACCTATGGGGACAATCCAAAGCTGGGCATGTACAGAATATGGTCACCTAGACAGAGGTGAAGGTCAACCTGGGCATGCACACTAGGCACCAGCAGCATGATGGCACACGTGTGCCTGAACTCAGCCACTAAGAACAGCCAATGCCCTCAACCAGGCCCAGCAACCCCCTCCACACATGGGGACAGGAAAGGGTCACTAGCAGGGACTGAGGGCAGGCTGCTCTCTTTCAAGTCGGAGGGTGGAATTGCTCCCTTGTGTGAGGTACAGTGTGCACTTTCAGGGCTCGCACTCTCTCTCCTTCCCTTTTAGGTTCCGGCACGCCTTTTTCTACATGGTTTTACATGGACACACACACACACACACACACACGCACACACACACACACACGAAGCGGGCATTTTCAGTCACAAACTCTCTCGTAGTCCCCTGCCATGCAGCCTTGCATGCTTTCCAGAGATAGCATGTACAATCTGAACTGTATTATATTACCCGAAGCATCCCTTTCCCTCATAAAAGTTACTTGGATTACAAAAGTGCTTCTGCCACATGAATTCTTTCAGCGTTGAGAAGCAAGCAAACAGGGGAAAGCCATCCTAGAAACCTAACAGCACCAGCCCCCTGGATTTGGGCCGTGTCTTTACGAAGGAATGTGCCTTCAACTTCTCAGTGAGAGAGTGTGCTATCAGGAGTGGCCATTCTGTCTCTCGAAGCCGGATGATGCTATGAGCACATTTGAGGGAATAGCTGCCTCCAGAAGGGGTTTCCTGCAACTCTGAACATACTCTTCTGCATATCAAATATTTCCTCTAATGGCTTCTGAACTTCAATTTCACTTACTGTATTTTTCCTGAAATTTCAGTCTTTGTTTTCTATTTAAATTTGTATTGTTCTTTAGAGGAGTCCTGTACTGTATTTCTTTGCATCTGAGATGGTAGAACGTCAGGGGATAAATAAATAATGCTCCCATTTGCCTTTCTGAGGTCAGAATTAGTTGAGACACAAAGGAACCAAGAAGATAAAGACAAAATCTAACCATTGTTGTTTATTTTTACTGATAAAGATTGTGTGACATCTGCTGGCCAATATGGGTGTGTTAATATTTTGACCTTGGATTTGACAACTTATCTACCGACTAACCAAATTGGATAACCACAGACCACTCTCTGGGTGTTTAACTGTGTAAAACTGAAAGTAAGAAGATTAACTCGTTCAACAGAATTTGTTAGGGAGCTGAAAGAGAAGCCAGGGTGTTATTCTCATGGAACTACCTCTCCTTGAGAATATGAGACATGGAGAGTATGTTCCCTGTAATATAAAGTGATACAGTAAGGTAAGTTATCAATCTATAGCAGATGCTTGAAAAAACAAACAAGAGAAAAAATACTGCATTAGTCAAGTTATGTGTCACATTTAGATTTTAAACATTAAAAAACAATTAAAGAGTGCCTCTTTAGAACTGAGAGAAGTATTGGGTGGCAGGTTGTCAATCATTCATCCTTGTGATGAAGGGCTTCTCCAGAACCCAGACAAAGTAAAGAGCACAGCTAGACCCACTCGACTCCCAAGTCTGTTAAAAATGAATGTGGGTCCTTGGCTCATTGCACCTCTCTGGGCCTATTTTCTGTCTGCTCAATGAGGAGTGAGGACAAGCAGTGACCAGACAAAAATAACAGGAGGACTAAGACCGGTCCTTCCAGAGCAGACTTAGTTTCAGAGTTGGGACTACAGCTTGGTTGTCTTGTATGTTTTCTATTTTATCCATTGTCACTTAACTTGAATTGCATTTAATAGGCAAATAGTGTGGTTTGAGCATAAATGAAAGAAAAACTCAATACTTAAACTCACTGAGCCCCTTCCCACTCATGACCACCCTGTAGGATGGTGTAGAGCGGCCCCTGTAGGTTTCTAAATCTGTCACTCTTTACAGGAGTAGAAAGCCACATCTTTCTCCCACAGTCACAGCACAGACATGATTTATTTGTTCATTTCTTCATTCATTCAGCAGACACTGGCTGACCATTTTTTTAATGCCAAATCCCATGCTGAGCCATAAGAGTAAACATGACATGTTCTTATCTCTGTGGGCACATGCCACCTGTGCCCTCCCCTGTTTCTAGCTGTGAGAGATCAATGCACAACTTTTACACCCTCACTTGGAGACCTTCATCCCGATCCCTGGAGAAGACCCCAGCTTCTTTGGCTGCCCTGAGATTCATGCCCATCCTCACCTTCCCCTGCGACTGGAGCCCTTCTGTAAGCCTGACAGACCCCCAAGAATGATCTCTGACCCACTGAGCACACAGACTCTGAATGGCTAAGAAAAAATAAGGGCCACAAACACACCGACCTCATCTTGGTTTTTCTCTTGTTGTTTCTAGGATGCTCAAGCTGGCACTACTACGTTACCATGCCGATGCCAGCCTCCACCTTCACAATTGCAGTGGGATCTTGGGCAGAAATTCATCCAGGGGCCTGCTCATCAAATGATGTGGCCACGGAAACAGCCTACCCATCCAAGGCTGACTTCAGGTTTGTGTTTGGGAACTTGCTGCAAAGCACATACTTTGGGGGAGCATTGTGATGCATTTCTTCCAAGCACTGGAAAAGTGAGTCATCCCTGCTGAGAAGCTAAACCAAAGTTATGATTCATCAGCCCAGGAAAAGCCCTCCTGGGCAGGAAAGAGAGGAGAGAGGCAGAAATAGGGGCGTATAGTTTGTAACAGTGTTGTTTGTTTTTTTAAAATATACATTCAGTTTATTGTTTTTCATTTTGTTTTTTTCTTTGTATTCAGAAAAGAAAAAGTGAAATCATGAAAATGAGTTGTTAGACAGAAAAGTGGGTGAAGGGAGCCGTCGGACAGGGCAAGATATGACAAAATAATAATTTATAAATTATCAAGGGCTCATGAGGGAGG